GCAATGGCCGCGGGAAGGCAGGAAAGACAGATTCCTGCACAGACGTTAGAGGAGCAGCGGGTTAGTCGTCTCAGCGGCAGAAGGTGAATCCACACACTCTAGGGCGAGCTCATTCAAACGCGACACAACTGGAATAAACCACAGAGAACTATTTTACAGGGACGATCACCATTGAAAATGTGACCCAAAACTCAAGAAACTCAAAGCCACAGACTGAAATATTTAAACATACAAAAGTAAGCATTTGCATTCAAAATGCATCATACAGAAGCGAAGTTTTAAAAATGGATGAGGTATGAATCACAGGGCGTCTTCCTCTACACAAATGGTCGCTTGCTCCGTGACACTAAGAGCTGCTGCACATCGTGCCAGAAAACTAAACATCCCACAGGAAAAAAATGGGCGCAAGGTATGAATGGCAGACAGGTTAAAAAAAAATTAAAAGGACAAGTGGCTTCAGATGTAGGAGCGGAAATTCCAGCTCCTTAACAGGAAGTACCACAAGTGGAAGCAACCCTGAGGTCATCGCTGCCACCTGCTGGACTGGCAAGCACCCTGAATGGCTGAGGAGGCCACGCTGGCAAGGCTGCCCACCAGCTCCCCAAGGGACAGGCACAGCCAGGCCCAGGGTCACGGCCTCCGTAAGAGGCAACGAGACAGGATCGACCACAGTCGATCACTCAGCCCTTCCGCTTCCGATAGTCAGGTCGCAAGGTTTACTGCTATTCCTGCGAGTGGACATGTATCAATGACAGCTGTCGTAGCATGCGCTGCTGAAACAATAGATTGGATGCAAGTTTCACGTCCGCCCATAAGCAATCAGTTAAATTAACCGAAGAGCATCTCTGTATAACAGCCCAGGAGTCTAGCAAGCCTTTGAAGTACATGGTCTGATGGCTTCTTAGGCAGTGGGCACTACGTACCCTGTGGTACTTTATGGATGTTATGTGGCCATTTTAATTCCACACAAGACAAAACAGAGGAAGTCCCAGACCCAATAAAGATTATTACAGGATAACAGAGCCAAGCAAACGGGTACATATGAAAAAGTACAAAATAGAATTTCTGGAGATGAAAACAGTCGGTTAAAGTGGAAAACCACTGACTAGACCCAACGAGAGAAGTGGACAGAGCTGAAGCGAGCCCTGGGCCCGGGCAAGATGCAGCTGAGCTACTGGCACAGGGCGCAGCTCAGGTGGGGAGGGTACGGGCAGGGGATGGTCCCGGGGGCTGGGGGCAACCCGGGAACGCTCAGATGAATCTCAGAGGCGAGGCAGAAGAGCCTGGGGGGACGTGTGAGCAGCGGCCACGGCCAAGGTGACAGCTCTAGGACTGATGAAGACAGGTGTAAACCATCACATGCAGACAGCACAAGGGGTCTCGAGCAAGTAGCAAAAAATAACCTACAGCCTGGCACATCATGGCACACCTTCAACACGCGAGCTGCCTCAACGGCAGCCAGAGGGAGGATGGCACAGGGGCCGTGGGCAGGGGACCATAGGCTGGCACCTGCACTCTAAGGCCCCGGCCCTGGCACTGCACGTGTGGAAATGAAGATGCAAAAGATGGAGCAAAACGAATTTAACTTTCCAGGGACTCAGGAGAAAGAAACACTGTGAGACCGCCTTCTCAGTTCCCTAAGCCCGTCGGCGCAACAGCTGCTTGCATTTGCTTGTATACAGTGCCACAAGGCACCCCGAGGTGAACCTAGGCTCACAGGTGTGCAGGGGGCACATGCAGGGGCTGCGCCACGTTATACAGGGACCTGCCAACTTGCATATCTGGGGGCGCATCCCGGACCCACCCCCCACGGACACTGAGGGACCACCGTCTGTCATCTATACCCTCTTCATTGCTAAAACATCTTACAGGTAAAAGCAAGCACTTTTAAAAAGAAGGCAAGCAGGTGGCTGCTCCTTTTAGCCAAGTGCTACAGAGAAGCCCCACGGGCTCCTGCCGCTGCAGCCCCCAGCAAAGCGATTCCTCCAATGGCAGGAGACATGCATCATGTATACCACAGCCCACAGAACCACATGCTTAGGTACCCAGCACTTCAAAATGGGACAGTTGGGAAAAACAGATGAGGAATGGGACAGAAGAGGCCCACGAAGGATGCACAGAGCGGCAGTTGCGCTCTCCCGAGAGGCTCACTCCACAGCAACGTGTTTAGCAGACATTGTGGTACACACACATCACACGTGCTGGGGGGGCTGGGCCAGCTGCTGCCTGGCAGCCCCCACTTTAGGGGATGGGCACTGGGGGCTAGACTGGCCCTAGACCTTAGATTCCCTCGGTTACAAAGCAGTGAGCCACGCAGCAGTGGGCAGAGCAGGATTCCAGGCTGCAAGGTGCAAAGGCCCACCCTGTGAGCGGTCTCCCCTGGTGACGCCCTAACAGGCAGCACGAGCTGCCGCACCCTGTGAGGCGACTGCACAGAGAGGAAACCCATGGATGCTGAATTCTGCTCACCAACGCCGAGTCCCATCCGTCCACACTGAGATTTGAGATCCAGAGACTTAGGCCCGGTTTGGAGATTTCATCTGCAGGAAATCTGAATGGACCAAGTATGGGACTACTGCGAAAAGTCCATGGAAAAGTAGCAGCAAAGGAGAGGTTCATCTTGGTGTCACAGTATGTTGGCACGCAACCACACGCGGCCTCTTCCCACAGCTCACAGAAAACACATCATACAGCTCCCTTCCTGTGAACTTGGCAGTGCTAGCTTCACGCTCCAGTTGAAAAAGAAAGGTTTCCTCTCACTGTTTCCCCTTTACTTTTCTGAGATGCCTGGGTGCGTGGAAATGAGCACAGAGTGGCACCTCCTCGCTCTACTTACCAGGATCCCCAAGCAGAGAGCAGATTCACGGGCTAGGAAGCCACAGCCGCATCTCAGCCACCCTGGACGCCCACGCCGCACGCGCTCCTCCCTGGACGCCCACGCCGCACACGCTCCTCCCTGGACGCCCACACCACACCGCACGCGCTCCTCCCTGGACGCCCACGCCGCACGCGCTCCTCCCTGGACGCCCACGCCGCACACGCTCCTCCCTGGACGCCCACGCCGCACCGCACGCGCTCCTCCCTGGACGCCCACGCCGCACACGCTCCTCCCTGGACGCCCACGCCGCACGCGCTCCTCCCTGGACGCCCACGCCGCACGCGCTCCTCCCTGGACGCCCACGCCGCACGCGCTCCTCCCTGGACGCCCACGCCGCACGCGCTCCTCCCTGGACGCCCACGCCGCACGCGCTCCTCCCTGGACGCCCACGCCGCACGCGCTCCTCCCTGGACGCCCACGCCGCACGCGCTCCTCCCTGGACGCCCACGCCGCACACGCTCCTCCCTGGACGCCCACGCCGCACCGCACGCGCTCCTCCCTGGACGCCCACGCCGCACACGCTCCTCCCTGGACGCCCACGCCGCACGCGCTCCTCCCTGGACGCCCACGCCGCAGCTCCTCCCAGCTGCCCTTTCCCTGCTCCTGGAGCTGAGCTTGGAAGGGGGTCCCGGCTGAGGCTCTCGGGAAGGCCAGCCCAGCTGTGTCCCCTGCCCCACAAATCTACTGCATGTGTAAGCTCTCTCTCCACGCAACCCAGTGGCTTTTCCTTCCACTATTCCACGGCACGGGGATCTGGCATTTCACTGTGAAATCTGGTATTTCTCCCCTAGCTTTCACTTCCATACCCTTGTCCTAAATTTCAAACTTAATTCTTCTTTCTCATACGCATGTTCCCCACCTGCCTTTTGCGATTCCATTCTGTTCCTGGCTCCAAATTCAGGGTACCCTAAGATCCTTCCGGCCTAGTCTGCGGGGCGCACCTGTCCCAGCTAGCACCACTCTCCTCCAGCAATGCACTCCCATGCCCACGTTTAGGATGTGCCCCTTCCTGGCCAGCGCAGCCCAGGAACCAGGCAGACCTCTCCACAGCACGGGTGCCCTTGCCCCAGGCAGCCTTCCCAAGCCCAGGGCTTCCTCGGAAGCCCCGCCCACCTCAGAGCCCGCCCACACCACCCCTTCAAGAACATTCTACAAGGAAAATGGGCTTCATCCAGTGGAACTGGAAGCAGTAATGGGGAGGCATTCACTTATGACTTTGAGGGAACATATGGGCAGTCTATCTTTCTCAATCATTCGGCTTTGACTATCAAAAGAAAAAAAACAAAAAGAAAAACCAAAACCCAGTAACTCCCACCAACGGCTTGCTGCGAGTGGAGTGGGACCATCAGCGAAACGTGCTGAAGGTGCAGGGCCCCGGGTTTATCGAGTGTGTGTTTGCTGTTCCACGCCCTAAGTTTGACATGGGCGGTGACTTGTTTAATCGGCTCAGGAAACTCGGGACCCGTTTTATGGATGGTATTTGGTTACGGATAACAGCCATGAAAGAAGGAATTCAACAGCAATTGATACGTCATCAAGGAACAAGGCACAAAATGAACCAACGTGTGCACTGAGATGAATCAATCAACGGGTCACAGACACACAATGGGAGCTGTGTCCGCCACAAGAGGAACAGATTCTGGCGTGCGGAAAACGGACGGGGCGGGGGCTGCAGGGTCAAAGGAACAAGCCAGGCACGTTTCCTTTCATATGCAGAAGTTCAGCGCGCGCACACACACACACACACACACACACACAGCCAGCCTGAACACAGAATGCCGATTCCAGGCGGCTGGAAGAGCTGAGGGGGAGGCAGAGAGAGGCGGGATGACGGGCACCACCCAGGAGGAGATGGAAAGGATGCAATGCTGACGTCACACAGCGTGGTCAGGGCCTCGGGAGGGACGGCAACCTAAAGTGTGTTTCACAAGCAAACACAAGAAAGGAGGCCCAGAACGTCCAAGGAGAAGTACTGAGCCCCTGGTTCCATCAGCAGACACTGTACGCACACACTGAAACATTGCCCTGGACCCCACACACGTGTACGCTCACAGCTCACTCCAGTAGAGAACACTCCAAGCTAGTGCTCTCCTGCGTGGCTTTCCTGCCAGGAGTCACTCACCCGCACAGGGGCTGGCCGCGAAGCCCACCCGCTTCCGAGCTCGGTCGAAGACCACGTAGAAGCCCTCCATGACGGTGGCACCAATCACCAGCGCGTTCGTGGAGGCGGAGATGCCGAATCGGTAACACTCGTAGTTCAGGCCGGCCCCCATCATGGGCTGAATGTAGAGCTGTCGGGTGAGAAACACTGAGTCAGGCCACGGCACACCATGGCCGAGGGTGCCCGACCCTGTGTGTCACACCATGGCCGAGGGTGCCCCTGACCCTGTGTGTCACACCATGGCCGAGGGTGCCCCTGACCCTGTGTGTCACACCATGGCCGAGGGTGCCCCTGACCCTGTGTGTCACACCATGGCCGAGGGTGTCCCTGACCCTGTGTGTCACACCATGGCCGAGGGTGCCCCTGACCCTGTGTGTCACACCATGGCCGAGGGTGCCCCTGACCCTGTGTGTCACACCATGGCCGAGGGTGCCCCTGACCCTGTGTGTCACACCATGGCCGAGGGTGCCCCTGACCCTGTGTGTCACACCATGGCCGAGGGTGCCCCTGACCCTGTGTGTCACACCATGGCCGAGGGTGCCCCTGACCCTGTGTGTCACACCATGGCCGAGGGTGCCCCTGACCCTGTGTGTCACACCATGGCCGAGGGTGCCCCTGACCCTGTGTGTCACACCATGGCCGAGGGTGCCCCTGACCCTGTGTGTCACACCATGGCCGAGGGTGCCCCTGACCCTGTGTGTCACACCATGGCCGAGGGTGCCCCTGACCCTGTGTGTCACACCATGGCCGAGGGTGTCCCTGACCCTGTGTGTCACACCATGGCCGAGGGTGCCTGCCCCTGACCCTGTGTGTCACACCATGGCCGAGGGTGCCCCTGACCCTGTGTGTCACACCATGGCCGAGGGTGCCCCTGACCCTGTGTGTCACACCATGGCCGAGGGTGCCCCTGACCCTGTGTGTCACACCATGGCCGAGGGTGCCCCTGACCCTGTGTGTCACACCATGGCCGAGGGTGCCCCTGACCCTGTGTGTCACACCATGGCCGAGGGTGCCCCTGACCCTGTGTGTCACACCATGGCCGAGGGTGCCCCTGACCCTGTGTGTCACACCATGGCCGAGGGTGCCCCGACCCTGTGTGTCACACCATGGCCGAGGGTGCCCCTGACCCTGTGTGTCACACCATGGCCGAGGGTGCCCCTGACCCTGTGTGTCACACCATGGCTGAGGGTGCCCTCGACCCTGTGTGATGGGAGGAGCCTCTGGAAAGACACTGGATGGAGACATGGGATCAACATTATGAAAGGGACAGAAACACAATGACACCTGCGGACCACTTATAGCCACACCTGGGTCACATGACGACATACACAGCACACAACACACATACTCCAGGTTGTTAATATGGAGCTCCAGGTCAGTAGTGGGGCTGATGGGAGCAGTCAGGATGCCCGGATGGAGGAAGGAAGGGGGCACTGCATGTGGGGTGGGGTGTAAGATGCAGTGAGGGCCGTGTAGAGACCACCTAGCAGAGGGCTGCTGTAACAGGCCATCAGCACGGGAGGCGGGACGGGCCTGGGATGGCAGGTGGAAGGGCAACAGGGGACGCCACCCTGGGGAACCCCTGACCAGTGGCAGGTGGGGAGGTGAGGACAAAAGCTATGGTTGAAGGAGACTGGCCTAACCGTGATTGTGAAAAGAGGAGAGTGGGGGCTTGGGATGCAGTGACAGTCCCCTGCTGAGGACTCTGGGCTGGCCTGGGACTCGGTGGGCAGCACCGCAGAGGAGATGGGCGCCGGCTCTGAACTGCGACTTTAAGAACCTTGCTTGGATCTTGGCCCTTTCAGACCCTGCTACCAAGTGGGGTTCAGCCTAGCGGCCCCTTGGCCCTGGCTGCCCAATGGGTGGGTGATGGATGCTCTGTACCGCCCCCCCCCGACCATGCACTTGTGGCTGTGTGATGGGTCTGTAACACAGGGGTGTGGCCAGAGCATATGATTCCCCAGGACACACTGCCACGTTTGCAGACTGTGTGCCAAGAGGCAAGCAAGCACAGGCGCCGGCCCGTACCTGCGGCAGGATGGTGAGGCGGAAGGAGCGGCTGGCATTCTCGTCCCGCAGGTAGATGGATATCTTAGGGAAGTATGCCCACGGGCTCTCCGAGTTGGTCCAGCAGGCCAGCTGCGACCCAGTCCAGAAGCCGTCCGAGAACTCCGGGATCTAGACAGAACAAGAGCCTGTGGGCTGCCGGCGCTGGTCCCAGCTGGCCCCTTGCCAGATGCCCCACTGCTACCCACAGTCACGACTGTCACCTTCCCACACTCCGGCCATGGCAGTGATGTCACCCCTTGCTTCACACAGTGGAGACCCCAAAACACAGAGGGAGCAGAGACCTGGCCCAGGACACAGTGGTGAGCCATGAACCTCAGGAAGGAGAACAAATCTTATTTGCAACCCTCAAGCCCCATCCAGGCTCAGCTCTCCCTTCGGATTCCTCGGGCCCAGCAGAGGCCACTGTGGGCTCTCTGCTCTTCCGGAACATTCCTGTTCTCCTCTGGGCCTCCTTGTCCAGGAAGCCCTCCATGACTCCCCCAAGGGTCCCTCTTGGTCTTCCTGCACTGAGTCACACTGCATAGGGGTGACGAACTTGTTTCCGACACTGGACTCTGACCCTCAGATGGCAGAGGGGTCTCTCGCCTGTCCTCATTGATGTCCTCACAGTCAGCATGCAGAGAAACCCAAGATGTATCGGTGGGGAAGAGGGGGAGAGGGGGTTACCAACAGAGATTCCTGCCCCGCCCACCTGGGTGGGGAGGGTGGTGCTGAGGCTGGGAGGGAGCTGAGTTGTGGCTGCCAGAGTGTCCCCATGGACATGTGTGTCTCCTGAGGAGGCTGGGCGTCTCCGGAGCTGCAAGGGACGGGCCTGGGCTGGGTACAGCCCTGAGGGTTCCCAGCAGGGCAGTGGATACGGCAGTGCAGGACAGAGGGGCTTAGGCCCACCCGGAGGAAGAGGCCAGCAAGGGAGACCCCGTGAGGAGGGACACGAGGCAGACGCACGTCCCAGGAGGCGGGCAGCGGATGGCATGGGAGTCGAGGGGCCGACAGGAAGGTGGTCGATGAGATGGACAGAGCGTGGGAGATGTGGGTCCGCCCAGGGACGGCCACATGGTGAGTACTGAGCAGGTGCTGTGTGCTACCCCGCACACCTGCAGGGAGAAGGGGCCTCTTCCCAAAGCCGTCCTGACTGCTCTGCGAGAGTTCTAACACCGGCAGGAATAACTGTTGCTTTTCAAGCTCTTCAGGACCCAAAGGAAGGCATTATTTGATTATTCACATGGCAGAAGACCGTGTGGGGGCTGCTGTGGTGGCACTGCACGGTAACCGTCTTCCGTGGGGCCAGCATCCCATATGGGTGCCAGCTGGAGGCCCGGCTGCTCCACGACCCACCCAGCTCCCTCCTAACGTACCTGGGAAAGCAGCAGAAGATGCCCAAGTGCTTGGGCCCCTGCACCCACGTGGGTGACACAGATGAAGCTCCTGGCTCCTGGCTCCTGGCTCTGGACTGGCCAAGCTCTGATCACAGAGGCCATTTGTGGAATGAACCACTGAATGAAGGATCTCCCTCTACAACCCTGACTTTCAAGTAAAACAAATCTTTAAAAAACAAAATACCGTGAACTTACTACATGACAGCTCCCTTCATCACTGCCAGGTCACACAGCCTTACACAGGGAGCGCCAGGCTCCACAGCCCCGATCCTGGGTGACCCCAGCCCCAGGACTCACCAGAGACGAGCGGGCCACGCCTTCCACCACGGCGTCGAACACCTTCTGCGGCAGGCGCAGCAGCGTGGTGCCACTGTCCACGATGGCCTTGTCTGCGTTGTACTGGAACAGGTGACCCCGAGGGGGAGGGGGCAGTGAGTGACGGCGACATCGCCAGCCCCCGCCCCATCACCGAGGGCCAAGGACAGGGGAGGCGTGAAGGCGGGGGCGGGGGTGATGGTGACATCACAGCCAGCAGCTGGAGAATCTCTCCTTCTGTCTGTAACTCTTTCAAATAAATAATCATTTTCAAAAAGAGGAGTGAAAAATTAGTCACACGGACTGTGCAGTTCCACTCTATTTTCTCACTGGTGGAGACAGCCAGGCAGTTCGTCAAACGGCGTCCCACAGAGGCCACGGGGAGTGAGAGAGCCACGCGCACCCACGTGGCATGGCCAGGCCCGCCCTGCCTGCCACTTTATGCGGCAGAGCGAGCAGAAGGGAGGTGAGTGGGTCTGCACACGGGACCCCAGACCCCCGGAGGCCGGGAGCGCTGGCCACCTGGACCCTGCACCCCACGGGGGATCAGATGTGGTCTAGGTGCCTGGCCCAGCCCCAGTCACGGGGAACGCCTGGGCAGAAAACCAGTGGATGATCTTTCTTACTCTCTGCACCCATACCTTTCAAATAAATAAATCTGGGTTAAAAAAGAAGAAAAAACCCTGAAAACTTTGCAGACAAGGTGGCTTCCCAAAGTGCATGGAAGTGCGCATTACACACAAAGCAGACGCGTGTCAGGCTGGATCTGGCCCGCACTCAAGGCGCCTTTCCTGGGCTAGCTTTGCCTTATCGGGCAAGCGGCTGGAGGCAGTGGAAGGGATGGGAGCCACTGATTTAAATGATCGAGCCGGAGGCTGTGACGTGTCAGGAGGTAGTGCAGCTTCCGGCCTCTTCGGGAGCTGCTGGCTGTGATGTCCGGGGCCAGGCGCACACCGGCAGGGGACACCATGCATACCTCCCTGCAGTCCAGGTTCAGACTCTGCCCTCCGATCTCCAGCTTCAGGATCTCAATCTGGTAGTACCACTCCTCCTTAATCGGGGTATACCAGATGTCCCCTTTGTACAAGCTGGGTTCAATCCCACCTAGGACCTGGAAGAGAAATATTCATGGGTGTCAGAGAACAAGCCTGCAGAGACACACACATGCTACACAGAGTGGTCGAGCTGTAAAGCGTTCCCCGGAGCCAGCGCTGGCACTTTCCTGGGATGCTGAGGGGTTCAGGGAGCGTGTGGCCCTGGGGCTGAGGGTCCCTGCCTTCTTTATCAACACCCTCTGAATGTGGAGTTTCTGCCAGGAAACATCCACTCCCATGCCCCAGGCTACCTTCCTCAGGGGGCAGAACCTGACCCTTGGCAAGGCGGCGGCGGGGGGTCGCTGGGAGCAGGGCCTCAGCCCGGTCTCTGCTCCTGAGTGGGGGGGGTGGTGCTGTGAGCTCCTCCTGTCACCTCCATCACATGTCCAGGGGGACGGGGCTCTCCTGGAGCTGATGACTTTGATCCTGGGTATGCACGCACACACGTGTCAGGAGACAGAGAGGACATGCAAGCTGGCCGTGTCACAGCCATCATCCTGGCCTCCTGGGTTCTCACCTGCCCCCCCCCTCCCTCCTTCCAAAAGACAAAAGGAAAAGTCCTGGGTGGGTGGAGGGGGCATGGCGACACCCAGTGCTGCCCAGGTGTAGAAGCTTCCACAGGAAGTGGCACCAAACCCCACACTTCCTCCATGTGCTGCGACGCCCATCTCCTCCGACCAGCCCCGTGCGTTTGTGATTGTGTGTGTGTCCCCTTTAAGACTAAAAGATACCCACAAGACTACCTCCGTTGGTACCGGCTCCAGCCACGGGCAGGCCCGCCCCACACATCTGCATGGAGAACACATCTGGAATTCTCGCCTGCGCCACCAGGGAGTCGAAGAACGTCTCCAGGGAGCTGGAGGGCTGTGGGAGGGCGACAGAGAGATCACAGGGTCACAACTCGGTGGGGACCAGGAAGATGCCCCGTGCACACCAGGCACCTACACTCCTGGTCTCACTGTCGTGGAGGGCGGACAGGGGAGGGCAAAAGGCCCAGTCTACCATCCCTTGCCTCTCACCTGGCCTCTCCGGCTGCCCTAGCCACACGAGCATCAGAAAAGCATCACGTTCTGTTCAAACCCTAGCTGCACCTGCTCACCTGCCCCGGACAGGCAGGGCGGAGGGCAGGACCGCAGCACAACCCTGTCGTCATACTTCTGAGATGGAAAACATGGGCATGGCCTGGGGCAATGCCTTCTGGAGACAGCATGAGGAGACAGGTACACATGGGGATGGGAGGCAGTGAGGACCACCTCGTGCTGGTGTACGGGGGTCCCGGCTGGGTGAGGAGGAGGCGCCTGCCCCAAGTGAGTGTGTGTTGGAGAAGACAGCCCCACCAGGGCCCTCTGCAGGTGCAGCTCTCAGCTGACACCCGGCCTTAACTCCTTCCCAGCTCACCATCTCCATGGCTACCAGCTATTCGAGCACCTGCGTGTGGGTGGGGCCTCCCAGAAGTTCCTCCTACCGAGTTTGCCTCAGGCCACAGCTTGGGCTGTGAAAGCACGACAGTGTTCCGGAGCATAGAAACGAACCACGGATGCCTTGGGCTTTTCCAGGAGCTGCTGCTGCCCGTGGCATCTCCATGCCTCTCTAGGTGCCATCTCCCATCATGCAAATGGGGGGACAACCCACCCCCATAGTTCATCCCAGACCCTAGACCCAGGATGGAGCTCTCTGGCAAGGGGTGCAGTTCAGCTTGCAGAAAACGTCCCTGCTCTCCAGAAGGACCATGGGCAAGCGTGGCTTGGGAGGGCAGCAGGGCAGGTGTTAGGGGCCTGGAGGAAGCCTTGACAGGCTTGAGTGCAGAGTTGGGCTTGGACACCCGGGAGGGGAAACTGGCGCAGCCAGTCACTGTGCATCGTTAGGAGCTGGTGAAAGCTTCTCCCTGGGCTGCAGGAGCGAGCATGCCACAGGGTCCTGCGACTACTTGTGAGATCCCGAGCCCTAGTAGGGGCAGACCGGGGTACGTGGCAGAGCCCAGCAACAGCCCTATGCATGGTTCACACAGCGATGCCTTGTACTTGGGTCAAGGAGGGAGACAACACAATCACTTGAATGGGACTGGGGTTCCACTGTAGACGCCAGGGAAAAGAATGCTTACTCACACCTCAGCCAACCAAGGGACTCGGCCCCTTGCTTCTCTGAAAACTGGGGGTCACTCAGCCCTACAACGGCAGGGGTGAGCTGGACCAGTCCACATGGAAAGCCCTTGATCTGCCCTGTGACAGCCTCCTTGGGGCTCTGCCCCCTTCATGCCCCAGGGATGTCACTCATAGATACCCAGCGTGCTACTCTCCCCACACCTTGGGGAGACCTCACTCTGGCAGGTGTGTGGGGTCTCACCATGGGGTGCTCCAGGACTGACCAGGGAAGATAACTGTCCATGCCCACCATGAAGTGCGGGCGACCTGCTCCAAGCCCCCACCCTAACAGCTCGGTGGGTCCTGCTCCCAGCCCCAGTCTCCACCCGAAAGATGCTGCTACCGTCTCCTGGATCCCCGGGGGCTGGGGGCTGGGACCCTCACAGATGAAGAGAAGTGTCATGGTGGGAATGTGGACGCAGCCAAGGCAGTGTGCAGCGGCAGAGGTTGTGTGTGTCACCAGTTTCAGATAACTTCGGGCTCTACTTCTGCCTTCCGTAGAATCAGCAGAAAAACAGCCACTCTCACACCTCACACAGAGATCTGTTTTCAAAGGCTGCCCTGTCAGGGACATCTGATCCAGGAATTAAGTGTCCAGTAGTTTGCAAACCTGCACTTCTACCCTCCTAGGAACAGACTCCGGAGGACTCTTGGGGTCCCCCTGGCAATGAAGCCAGACCCTGGGCACTGCTCCCTCTGTCTCCACATCCCCGAGGTGGGGGCAACACAGCTGTGCAAAGACTGCTCCCCAGAAAGCCTGAGCATGGAGTGGACAGACCCCCCCACTCCCAGGCAGCCAAGGGCTGGAGGACTCCCCTCTTCCCCCAAGTCCTCACCTTATTTGGTAATGTCCCTAGGCTGGGACACATGGTCCGGCTTTGTAAGGGAAAGAAAGGCCTCCCTGTGGGTACCAGCGGGGCTGTTCTCCCTGCAAATTCCCTCTGCTGCTGCCACACTGAGCCAGGAAGCCAAGGGCTGACAGCAGGTTCAAGGCTAGCAGGTGGCTTCTCTCTGCCCTCCTCCAAGCAGCCTGGCTTGGAACACCCTGGACACACCCTGGCAGTTGAACCTGCCTGCCACTGGCCACCTTGGAGGGGGAAAGTCACTGGGAGCCTCCCTCCTGGCACACTGCCACTGTTAACTTTGTATCAGACTCAAGAACAAACAGCTGGCCAGCACCCAAGTCACCTCCCTGGTTTGGGAACACCCGGATGCCGAGAGGCAGGGGTCTGCCATCTCTTCTCCAGCTCAGCTCACTGCTACGAGGAGTCGCAGGTGTCTCCTGGGGGGACAAGCAAGCCCCCTGGGGTGGGCACTCTGTGACTCTCCCAGCACTGCTGCTGGTCCCACTGTTGTGCCAACACGGAATTCAGTGCACATGTCTTTGAGTCTTCCCCCGTCGCAGCTCCTAACCGGAGACCATATGCATTGTGATTCAGATGCTGTTAACATTTTAAAGCGACAGATTGAAAATAAGCAAAAACAAAGACATCAATGCTGTGAGTATATTTTACAGAAAGTTGCAAGGACATGTACTGTTTATCCTAAATTTTAAGAGCACTTCAAGGGGGCTGCTGCTGCGGAGGCTGGGTTAAGCAGCCATCTCGGAGGCTGGCATCCCACAGGGGCACTGGCTTGAGCCCCGGCTGCTCCAATCCAGCTCCCTGCTAATGCGCCTGGGAAAGCAGCAGAAGGTGGTCCAGGTTCTTGGACTCCTATACCCACGTGGGGCAACTGGATGGAGCTGCAGACTCCTGGCTGGCCCAGCCCTGGCAAGTGTACCCATTTGGGGAATGATCAAAAAAACAGAAGAGCCCTCTGTCTCTCCCTCTCACACTCTGCCTCTCAAATAAAATCAACAAAGCTCAAAGAAAATGCTTAGAAATAGACTTTCTCACTGTTTCTAACATGAGATCCTCACTGTGCCCAGTGGCAGCCGAGGGCCCACAGGGAAGCCCCTTGGCACCGGGCTCTGGGGACTCAGCCCGGAACTTGGTGGTCCTTACCTTGGCCAGCGTGGCGTAGGCAAGACCGAGTATTCCGTTCCATTTGATCCCCGGCAGAAAAAAATTCTCCGACTCAAAAATCGTGGCGACGTTGACGAGGAGGGACGTGTTGAAGCCCTTCGGGATGGAGACAAGGTCCTCGCCGAGGCTGCCCGTCCAGCTGCCCTGTGTGTACCTCACGGTGACGTCCACGCCCCTGGGGCGGTAAGTGCTGGACCTGCGGGGGAAGGTCTGTGGTCAGGACCCCTGCTCCGAGCCACGGGGCTGGGCGGAGCCCCGCAGCAGCCAGCTGTCTCCAGCACGTGAAGTCGGTGACCGACAACCAGCAGCGTGGATGGTGACAGGCTGACAGCTCCCCAGACGCCATCACGACACACTGACAACAGTGGTTTTCCTGCCACGTGGAACACGCTGCCTTGAGCTTCATCCTCCCACCCGGGCCCGAGTCAAACCCACAAGTCAGATGCTTGGCACGAGGACTTGGGCCTTTGAAGGGTGCAACCAAACTTAAAGACCCGCCTGACTCGGCTGCTGCATGGCGACTCAGGGAGGCGACCGAGCTCATGCCAGCAACGCCCAGGGCTCGGCGTCACACCCACTGAAACTCCCACACTGGATAAAGACCAAGCCCTTCCTCGCAGGCTCCTACAGGGCAGACCTCACACACCTGCTCAGGTGCGAGCTGCAGCGAGCAGGGACAAGGCACACATGACTCCCTGACACTGCATACAGCGAGGACTGGACGAGAGAGAGCCGGGGAAAGAGGGCAGGGCTGGGGACAGCATGACTTGGCTGCGAGGCCTCTTGCAGGACACTTGAGGACTGTGCACGCGGCTCTCTGGGTGACGGAGAACAGAACCCCTGCAGAGTACAATCCTCCCAGGAGCCTCTGACCCCCAAGGGAGTTGCAAGGTTCTTCTGGAAGACAGAAAGGAGCCCACAGAATGCACTCCAGCCCCTGGAAAATCCTCAGGCATGCCAACTACGCAGCTGGAGCTTGCTAGCTTTTCGTGACTATAACAAGATTCCTGAGGCAGGCTGATTTATATAGGAAAGAGGTTTACCGAGCTCACTGGTCCAGAGCTTCTAACCTCATAGGCGGAGCAAGGGAGACAAAGGGAGATTTCTACGCCAATCAGGAAGCCAGAGAGGCTAGGCGGGGCTCTGCCGAGAATGGAGCAGGGTCCCACGAGAAACACCTTCAACCCTACAAGTTGGTACCCCAGGTCTCAGCACCCCCATGGCAGACCAGGCTTGGGGCACAGCCACATCACAGCACCCCCCGACCCCCGAAAGGGACAGTAGTCACTAAAGGGAGTGTCCGATATACTGCTGCCCGCAGGAGCCCCGTCCCCGACTCAGGGCTGAGCCTGTGTCAGGTGTAACCTGGGAAGCCTCCAACACAGGGACACACAGGCCACATGTGTCGGGGCCAGGGAGGAAGCTGCCTCCTCTGAGATCTTAAAGATAAGCATTAAGGGGGCATGACTGAGCAGGACAAGGTCAGGTGTCTGGAAGGTCATGGGGACTGTGGGTAGGCCACCCTTTGGAGGCGATGCAGACACAGAGGCCCTGACACCCAGCTGGGCCTCAGAAAGCTCACCGAAAATACACATTACACAACAGCTACATGGGGCTGGTGCTGCAGCGTGGCACACTAATCCTCTACCTGCAGGGCCAGCATCCCATAGAGGTGCCGGGTCATGTTCTGGCTGCTTATGTCCTAGGAAAGCAGCCGAGGATGGCCCCAATCCCTGGGTCCCTACACCCTCCTGGGAGACCTGGAAGAAGCTCCTGGCTGTGGACCAGCGCAGCTTTGCCTGTCTCCCTGTCTTTCTCTCTCTGTTTAACTCCGACTTTTTAGTAAAAAACCCTGATTTAGCCTCCCCCCAGCACTCACCGGGTCCCTTTTCATCTCCTGAGTCTGCTCCTGAGCACCAGTGAAGGAAAACCAAGAGACTCTTTGCCCCAGCTCCTCCGAGGACTCCTCCCCGGAGCGGAACGGCATTTAACGAGAAACTAGAACCCTCAACTTGCCCACCCGTTGAGCCCAGGGGTCGAGGACTTGCACGCCCCTGGGTCTCTCCCCACACAGCCTCAGAGGCGTTTCCACTGGCAGAAAGGCAGCACATCAGGAAAATGCATGACCTAGTTTCGTTACATAGTAACTAACACCTGGAACATTCCAGAAAAGAGGGCTCAGACAGACTGGCCACTGACGCCAATGATGCCTCATTCCCAAATCAAACAGCCAACGTCCAATTACGGTGACATCAAGCCTGCACGTCCACAGCCCGGGACTGGCATCAGAGGCTGACAAATCCCACAGAAGCCCTATTATAACGGCGATCAGAGCAAACATCACAGGGCAGCCAGCGCAGCTCAGAAAAGAAACCTCTGTCGAGCAGGCAGAAGGGAAGAGAACATTCCCAGGCAGCGACCAGAGCTGACAGCACACCTTGGGCCAAAGCTGGGTGGAGCCTTAGGCAAATCCACAACACGCAACTTACAGAGAATGGAAATGGTCCTATTCTGATGCTTAGAAGGGTGGATCTAACTCCACTACAAGCCCACAAGAGCATGAGGAATGCAGAGAGGAGAGGAGAGAGAGGAAAGGGGGGAGAGGAAGAGAGGAGAGAAAAAGAGGGGGAGGGGGAAGAGAGAGAGAAAGGGGATGGGAAGAGATAGGTCAATGTCAAGTCAAGGAAGTGTTCATCCTGCAAAGTGAATGTGGGAGCCGCGATGCAGTGGACAGGACAGACTGCCGGGGAGCTCATCACCCGACAGCTCAGGAGCTGCCTCCCAGCCTTGCTAGAAAGTTCCCCCGAGCTGTAAGGTGTGCTAGGCTGAGAGGACGGGCAGGGCATCTGGGTAAGTCAAGCAGAGCCGCACCTGCAAAGGCTGGAGGCAGGCGGAATGCGGGAGGCAGAAGTGGCGACGGACGACGCTGACCGTGGAGGGCAGTGTGGGTTTCTCCCTGGACAGCGGTACGTCCTGTCGTTCCTCTCCACTTCACCCCAGAAATGTGAAGCAGATGGGAACCCCAGGAGCGCAGAGCTGACAGAGCATCGCAATGCTCTCGTGGGGTTAGTGGGAGGAATGATAAGCCAGGGCCAAGCCAGGAGGGATGGTACAAAGCCTGTCCTGCTAGAGCCCGAGGGACACACACAGCTCCGTCAATGCAGATGACGCTGTGTCGACAAGTGACAGATGAATTCCACAGAGATGAGACGACACGGCAATGCTGATGGGGACTTTAGCAATGGCATCAGCAGGGCCAAAGGAGCCAGGCTGCAAAGGTACACCTTGACCTGAGGACTCCAGGCGCCAGCCCTGCCCACTGACAGGTGCAATACGACGGCCACCCCACTCCCCGCCATCCTCTACGGTGGCTGTGCTCCCCGCTGCTCCCTGTGTCCGCAGACATGGGACAGGAAGTGACATTCTCAGATTGGGAGCAGGACTGCTGAGTAAGGGACAGTTCCGCTGTGCTCCCAGTGACGGCAGCCAGCACAGGCACAATGCTGGCTGTCCGCTGGGAGAGTTTAGGAAATGCTGGGGTTGCTGGCTGCCCCAAGAGGCTCAGGGGTGTGCAGAAAGAGGCACTGCTTCCTGTCCCACAGGAGAGATCCTCCGTGGACCTCATGCATGCATAATGCGCCCGCTGCTGCCAGGCATCCTGCACGGAGGTTTGACACGCGCTGGATATGAACTGCCGCTGAGGCCGGTGGGGGTGGGCTTGCCAAGATCCTTCATTGTGGAAAGCCTCGTCGGCAGCCCAGGCTGCTCTGAGAGTTGGGGTCTACCTCAATCTGCCTTTGTGTCACTCCCGCCGTCTCCTGGAGCTGTTACTTCCTGGGACAGAGGAGCCAGCTTGGCAGGCCGAACCCTCTCGCTTTGCCCACTGCGTGTTGCCTTCTTCATGCTGCCCTGCACACGGTGTCTCCCTTATCCAGAACGCAGCCATGGCATCCACGCCTCCACAGCAAAGCCCAGGAGGCGGGGCCAGAGGTGGAGGGCTTCCCCAGCTGCCTCTATTACGCTGGCTGGCATTTCCAGAAGCCACCCCCGGCTAGCACTCACTCTTTTATGCACCCCTGCTAAAGCCGCCCTTTATTCTCCGGAACAAATAGCTGAGGATAAGTGAAAGGGGGGGACATGAAAGGGTTTACAGTGTGGAAACCTGGTGTGGCACTTGCAGTCGCTGCACAGTTCATGGCCCTGCCAGGGCACTGCCAGCCGCAGCGTCCTCCAGCTGTTGAGTTGCATTTCACACACACAAGAAGGAGCTGTGAGGTCAAGATGTGCGCGGGACCAGAGATGCTGCAACTCGCACGAGTGACTCCAGATGTGGGCACCTCCAGAGCTGGGGACCCCCACAGCCCTATCCAGGGCTCCCCCAAAGCTGGGAGCCCAGAGTCAAGCTGGGATAGGAACATACTATTCTAGAAAGCTCCATTGGAGCTTTCATTAAGACAAAAAGACTTTATTTATTTGAAAGACATTTATGGAAGAAGCAAGCAGGAGAAAAAGAGACAGAGAAGGGAAGGGAAAGGAGAGAGAAAGGGGAAGGGGAGGGGAGGGAGAGAGGGGAGGGAGGGAGGGAGAGATGTTCCACCCACTAGTCCACCACTTTCTAACTGGTTACAATGTTCAGGGCTGGAACAGGCGGAAGCCAGGAGCTGTCCTCCGCTGCTTTCCTCCGCTGCTTTCCTTAGTGCATAGGAAGCTGGATCGGAAGTGGAGCAGCCAGGACTGGAATCTGTGCTCCCACGCATGCCAGCGTTCCAGAAGTGACTCAGTCTGCTGTACCCCAACTGCAGCACCAGGCTGCACCCCTTTCTCAGAAGCCCAGGGACTCCAGGCTCAGGCCTCAATGCTTTGCAACAGGTGCCTTTCTCCAGGCTCCTCCCACACAAACACCTTCCCGCAGAAACGGCCCCTGGGAGCACAGAACCCTGCTCTCCAGGACGATGCCCAAGTAGTCTTCTGTGTGTTCACCTTGGGAATTGGGGAAGCAGCCCTGGCCCCGGCCCTGCCCACACGGGGCTCTCCCCCCTGCCTCGGCCCGGTCCTGCCCACACGGGGCTCTCCTTTCTGCCTCGGCCCTGCCCACATGGGGCTCTCCTCCCTGCCCACATGGGGCTCTCCTCCCTGCCTCGGTTCCACTTCTACTTCAGCCCTGGAGGAGCTGGAACCAGCCCCAAAGGATCACAGTGCCCCTGCTACCCAGGTTGTCACAGAATGAGCCCAGACTGTCAGTGTGATGCCTGATGCTACAGTGAAAAACGTCCATGTGTGAGCACTAACACGCATGCCAACAGGCACAAAGCAACTGCAAAAAGCTCACGGAGGGCTGGCATTGTCATAGTATGTTAAGCCACCGCCTGCAGTGCTGGCATCCCACATGGGCGCCAGTTCCAGTTTCGGGTGCTCCACTTCCGATCCAGCCCCCTGTTGATGTGGCTGGAAAGCAGCAGAGGACGGCCCAGGTGCTTGGGTCACTGCACCCCCATGCAAGACCTGGAAGAAGCTCCTGGCTCCTGGCTTCAGAATGGCTCAGCTTTGACTGCTGTGGCTATTTGAGGAGTGAATCAGTGAACGGCTGTTTACAGTATTCAGATTACCTTCTAGTCGGGGGAAGATCTCTCTCCCTCTCTCTCCTAACTCTGCCTTTCAAATAAAAATAAATCCTTAAAAAAGAGGACTTATGGGGCCCGGCGTGGTAGCCTAGCAGTTAAAGTCCTCACCTTGCATGTACTGGGATCCCATGTGGGTGCTGGTTCTAATCCCGGTGGCCTCACTTCCCATCCAGATCACTGCTTGTGACCTGGGAAAGCAGTGGAGGACGGCCCAAAGCCTGGGACCCTGCACCCGCGTGCGAGACCTGGCAGAGACTCTGAGCTCCTGGCTTCGGATCGGCACAGCTCCGGCTGTTGCGGCTGCTTGGGGAGTGAATCAATGGACAGGAGATCTTCCTCTGTCTCTCCTCTCCATATATCTGACTTTCCAATAAAAGTAAACAATTTTTTTTTAAAGTGAAGTTCATGAAAAATGGAATTGGAAACAAGTGTATTTTTGGTCCCGAATGAGGAAAAGTCTTGAATGCATGCCAACAACAGGCATTTCCCATGAACTTCTGGAGGATTCCTCACACAGAACCCTTCCGCACGCAACAGCCTCCTGGCTGCTTGGTTCCGCTGCATTCCAAAGTGTGCCCGTTTACACGTGCCCCAAACCCAGCCACACCCACAATGGCCCCGCCATTTACCTGTCCGCCTCAAAGTAGGAATCCACGTAGGGATGCGGGGCCCCTGCCACGGCGAAGTTACTGCTGCCCGTGTCCACGAGAATCTGCAGCTTTCATCGGTCAGGGAGAAAAGAGAACAGCACAGCAGGTCACTGGGGAAGGCCAGGCTCGCGGAGAACGGTCCCTGAACGTCTACGCCCAAGTGTGCCCTGTGACTCCCTTGGGGAGCAGCATCCTGCACCCAGCCCGGCAGGGAGACCTCACCTCCCCGAGCACACACACACACACACACACACTCTGTGCCATAAGGGGGTTCCCTTCTCCAGCCCCAGGGACCTGCTAAGAACCCGTGGGCTTGTGGGGTGGCCCTGGGCACACCTGCTCCCAAGCACCCCCTCTTGAGTCTCCTGGAAGTTTAACTGGTGTGCAATAGAAACATAAGTTCCTCAGTGCCAGAATGGGTGACTCTGGGGCTTCTGGGGTCCCCAAAGGGTCCCCCTTCCCACCTCTTCCTGCCCTGACCCCAGAGGCCATCGCTCTCCGACTTCACCACCCTGCTTTCCTTTTAGGAACATTCCACTGCTGGTCTAGCTTTGGTCTTCAGCCTGGCTTCCTTCGCGCAGCCTGCTGGGGAGGCGCCCACGCACCTGCACCTGCACCTGCGCGCGGGGGCCCCGCCCTCCCTCTCGCAGTCAGTGACCCGTCTGGGCCGTCCCTAGTTTTCGGCCAGGCGATGGCCAAGGGCGTTCTTGGCTAAGTCTGTTTTGAAGCTACGTTCCCATTCCCCAAGGAGCGAAGCTCAGGACATGGGGCAGGTGACCTGCTCCGGGTTTAAGAAGCCACTGAGGCGTCTCCAACACAGTCACACTGCATCACAGGCTGGGAGCCATGTAACCATGCCCTCCCTCAAGTGTGGTGCATAAGAGCAGCTTCCCGTGGCACAGCCTGCATTTCCCTGGGGCCCAACGGCTCCGGGTCGTCACTCTCTCATGACTCCACCTCTCCTGCCTGGCAGACAATGATGCTTGAGAAAACACTGATTCTCATTTACTTGAGAGAGAGAGAGAGAAAGAATATCTTGTGTTTGCTGGGGTATTGCTCTCTAACCCCACAATACCCAGGGCTGGCCAAGGCAAAGCCAGGAACCAGAGCCTTCACCTGGTGTGCCAGGAGGACGGCAGGCCCCAGCACCTGAGCCTGCCCCCGCTGCTCCCAGGGTGCAGCAGTAGGAAGCCTGATCAGAAGCGGAGCACCAGGACTCAACCAGGAGTGTCGCACAGGCGGCTTAACCAGCTGCCCACAACACCCACTCGGAGCAGGCGTTCGCCGTTCACCTTGTTCTGCCCAGCAGGGAGCTCAAGGCCAGCCGTTTACAAAATGAACACGATTTTTAGAGTAAAACACAGAATAGACAGATAAAGCCCATGAGATAAAAACCAAGTTCAAAAACCAACAGATGAGGCCAGCGTTGTGGTGCAGCCGGCTAGGCCACTGCCTGCAGCACTGGCATCGCGTAGGGGTGCGGGTTCAAGTCCCAGCTGCTCCGCTTCCCATCCAGTTTCCTGTTAATGACCTTGGGACAACAGCAGAGGGCAGCCCAAGTCCCGGGCCCCTGCACCCACAGGGAGGCCTCGATGGAATTCCAGGCTCCTGGCTTTGGCGTGGTTCAGCTCTGGTTGTTGTAATCATTTCTGTAGCCAACCAGTGGATGGGAGATCTCTAACTCTGCCTTCCAAAGAAATAATAAATATTTTAAAAAGCATTAGATGAGGAAGGTGAGACAGGTAAGGTTTTCTTTGTCGAAATTATGTTCTTGTATTTATTTGAAAGGTGGGCTCATCCATAGGCCCACCGCAATAAGGCTGGGCCAGCAGGAAGGCAGGTCTCCCACACGCTGGCAGGCACCCAGCCACATCACGCCCACTCGAGCCATCACCAGCTCCTCCCAGGGTGCCTGCTCGTGGGACGTGGAGTCAGGACCTGGGCCTTGAACCCAGGCTCTCTGACACAGGACACGGGGCATTCCTTACAGCATCTTCACCACTGGTCTGGACACCCCCACCCCTGGACAGGCAAGGGTTAACCTTGGATCCTCCCATCAGCACTTGGGAGGCTGTCACTGCCCGGCCTTGCAGGAGGCAGGAGAGGAGGTGAGGAGGTAAGGAGGAGAGGAGGTGAGGGAGGCGAGGAGGCGAGGAGGAGAGGAGACCCCGTTCGCAGCCATTCAGGGTCAACACAGGCTCTTGAGCCACTTGGGCAGTCAGACGCGGCAGCCAGGCCTGGAGCTTTCCCTGTCCACGGAAAGCCACTTGTCCACGCCATGCCACTGCCCAGCGGCGGAGCCTGCGAGAGCTGGCACATGGGAGCCACGACCGTGAGCACTCACCGCTGTCCCCAGGGTGTGTGTCTTAACGTGTCCGGGGGCAGGGTGAAGCGAGAACACTGAAAGAGGAAATGAAGCACAAGGGATGTGTCGGGGGAGACCCAGCGGCCGCAAGGCCTTCGAGGGGGGCTAGAGGATGTGTGTGGTGTGAAAGGCTGCGGTGACACCGGGGTCCCACATGAGCGCCAGTTCGAGTCCCAGCTGCTCCACTTCCATCCAGCTCCCTGCTAAGCAGTGGGGGATGGCCCAAGGCACAAACCCATGCGGGAGACCTGGAAGATCTTGGCTTCACATCAGCTCAGCTTCGGCCACTAAAGTCATTTGGGGAGTGAGCCAGTTTATGGAAGATTCTTCTCTTTCTCTCTCTCTTACACTCTCCCCACTCTAGCCCTGCTTCTCCAAAACAAAAAAGACAAATCTTAAAAGAGAAAGAGAAGTTCTTCGTGCAGGAAATGTTGGGCGCCCTGAAAAAGTATGGGATTGCACAACAGTGAGGGACAGTCATCTGTTGGCCACCAAAGGTCACCAGGAGGGAAAGCCGCGGATTCCGGAGCGGCAGCAGTGCCCACACCCAGGGCCACGCACCAGACGCCACTTCCCAAGCGTTCCTGGCTCTGTAGGCAGCATGCCTAGGAAATGCCAGGGCCTCGGTCTGGGCCGTGCCCACGCGCGGGTGCCTGGCCGGCAGCCCCGGGCACACGGCTGCTCCCATACCCCAAGCCCAGCCGAGCAGGAGCCTCAGTGCTGCTGCCTACAGAGCACAGAGTGGCACCTTCTCAGACGCTTCTCCAGGCTCTTCTTGGCCAGGAATTCCAGCTTGGCTTGGGCAGCTCATCCCACACCCACCGAGGGCTCGCTCACACGCCCTGCCCTGGTAGGCCACAAACGCAGTGACCAACGGGTCCTCTCTGTATGCCTGCTTTCACACGGGTGGCTTCTTCGTGCTGGTCAGGTGCAACCACAACAGACACGTTCAAGAAAATCCCATGCGGAGTCCTGCCTTGGCTAGTGGGCACCAAGCCGGGCATTCTCGAGTCTAGAATCTGAGAAATGACCCCCAGATAAGCACAGGAGGTCAGGGAGGGGCAGGATTGCCTGGGGCCGTGTCTCATCTGAGCAGCAAAGGGAAGCTGGCACTGTAAACGGACATCTCTCACGCCGAATTCTCAGAGAGCGTCAGCCACCTGTGCAAGCGTCTCAAGCTCAAAAGCAAAACCAAGTGATGAGTGTCCCTCTCTCCCTGCGAATGTCACACGACGCTCTTGGAAAGCGACGAGAGCTCAGTAACACTCAGCTGTGGGTTTCTCCCACACACTCGTAAAGTGCTCTGCTGCCTGGAGTCTCCAAAACTACGGCCTGCCTGTTTGGGTTCAAGTTCATGTGCACCTAGGTGCAGGTGCACACACAGATGTACACACACAGGTGTGCACACACAGTGATCCAACTCCTGGGAAAACACTAAAAATACACACCCAGCTCCTAATTCAGAGAAGGTCTCTGCACTTTCAAAGCACAATTTACAAGGTCCTGAAACGCACACGAGGGGCATTAGCCTGGCATGCGAGTGAGGACACAGGGCAACGGCCCGGGAGCGCGGGTCCCCACCAAGCAGCCTCCTGTGGAAGCCACCATTACTGTCCAGTACCCAGCAATGAGCAACAAAAGCCAATTTCCACAGGCCTCAAGGGTCTTCAATTCTGACAGGTGTTGGCTGTCCCTGTTCTAACCCTGCCATCAGCACGGGAGGTCTTGGGCAGCATGGGAGGTGACAGTCAGCGAGGGTGGCCTGACGAGGACGGAGTCCAGGCCTGGGCAGAGGGGAGGAAGTGTGGGGAAGGATGGCAGGTGCTCAAACATCTGCCCTAAAGCTCCGTCCAAGTGACAGAGACGCAGGAGGGCGGGGCGGCAGGATCAGTGACCCCTTTGTTGCCAACTTTAAAAAAAATATCTAACGTTATTTTTATTCAAAATGAAGAGTTCCGGGGGGGGGGAGGACACACAGAGAGATTTTCCATCCACTGGTTCACTCCGAAACACCACAATGGCTGGTGCTGAGCCGATCTGGAGCCAGGAGACCCCTCCAGGTCTCCCACACAGGTGCAGGATCCCAAAGTTTTGGGCCGTCCTCCACTGATTTCCCAGGCAACAAGCAGGGAGCTGGCTGGGAAGTGGAGCAGTCAGGATACAAATCGATGCCCATACGGTATCCTGGCGCTGCAGGCCGAGGCTTAGCCTATCATACCGTGGGCCCTTTAAAAGCAGCAACCCCCCAAATACCCTCCCTGCAGCTCTGGCACCCTCCCTCTTTCACAGCCCCCAGAGTGGGCCACAGCCTGATGAGCCAGGCTCCTGCCAGCCAGGCCAGCTTGCCCAGGACCACAGCGCTGCCTCCCACTCAGTCGGCTCCACATCCCCTCCCTGCACTTCAGCCTCGGCCCTTCTGTGCCTTCCCTGCTGGGTGAGTCCTGCCCCTCCCCCTCTATCCTGGGACTTCAGAGCCCTGGTCCCCCGGGGCTGCTCTGTCCACCTGGGTGTCCTCTCCAGCCAGCAGCCCCAGCACTGGATGTCCTCCAGGGCACCGAAGCCCTTGGGAGCTGCCCTCCTGCACCCCAGCACTGTGCACAGTGCCTGGGTGCTCGGCAGGGGCCCAGGAAGCAGCCTGTGCTTACACCATGCAGAGGTTGCTGCGTGGAATAACCCTAGCCCCTCAGCCTGTGGGCACCCATG